GTCGTTACAATCCCGGGTAGGACTCTGGATATATAATCCAGAGAACATACATAGATAAATGGAATTCGTCGTGCAAGTTGCACGTGGAATATTATATGTTATTTGGTAGTGTAACTCGAATCGATACATTGACCAGTCATTAAGATACGATGTAGTGAAAGTGCTGCGCTGCAACTCCGTCGGAGATCCGAATCACCACTGAGCAGTTCTCCAATATCAAATGCGGTCCGATTGTTGATCCTACGCGCAATCGTCAGCGTCGTGCAACCTCGGAGCTCTTCTTCGATAATCTGCTGAATCTGGCGAATTGCAAGTGACGATCTTTCTCGAAGCAAGCTTTACCTATGCTGAGGCCAAGAATGCCCACTTGTTCAATTTATAGTAATTGTGACTATTCATAGTAGTTCGACTATTTATATTTATTTAGCAGCAAGCATTACCTGTGCTCAGGGAATAATGCCCACTTCGACAACGGCAATCGTCCAAACACTCAGCTATGCCGACTCCAGGGCGCTCGCAAGAGTTAAACTAGGATAAATCACAGCGTCCAGTAGAACAGTAGTGCAGATGAGGGGCCCCGTATTCTTCATAAAGCCAAGTCAGACAGATCGGAGTTGCTATAACAGTAGAAAATTTTGCGCCACCCGTTGCATCAGCCAATACTAACTACCAGAGGCACACGAAGGACTCCTGCCCCTTTGAAGTTGAAGTGTTTGTGCTCGCTGCGAAGAAGGAGCTGCTGCTTCAAGAATTCAAAAGCGACAATTAGTATCGATGGGTATTTAGCACAGAGGCCCAAGCTCCAAGTTAGGAAGATTGCCAGAACTCACTGGTCCATATGGCATACCCAACAGCCAAAGGGCTCTACTCTCACATCATCCGACACTGCTTCCTTCGCTCAAGCTCAGCATCGCGACGCTAAGCTTGGCGAAGAGCAGGTTGAAGAAGAGAGCGACTATGATGCGGTCAACATAAAGATTAGTGGGTCGAAAGAAATCCCACTGACGTTCACATGAGTTTCGCACAGTTACGCGTTGCCCAACTACAATATATTAGCGAGCGGAGTCTTTTCCTCCTTGTGTCTCCACAGGAGCCAGACGAAGATCTAGAAGAGCTTGACCACGCCAGTGGTTAGATTCAATTCAGATGGAGATGAGTCTGTATTGAAATACGGCCTCGGTTACACCTCTTGGTCCATATCCGCAGCGCTAAACCAGATTCACCACGTGTTCCCCACCCCGCAGGTATTGCTTCATCGCCACCTTAAACACGAGCTCTGGCTAATGAGGGACGACCGTTATCGTTGTAACAAGCTCTTGAGCCTGCCAATCATTTCCTCAATTGGGTTGAGATGTGGACAATACCGAGGGAGATAGAGCACTACAACTACGCACCTGTGTACACATGTTGTACATATGGATTACAGTGTTATCCATCACCACAAATGGATCTAGAGAGCGGCCACGGACTCAGGTGCTTGATCACTTGCCTGACGACGTTCGATAAAAAAATGCTTGCGACTGAAGGTATCTCGCGTAGCCTTTCACACCACGAAGCCGCGCTCATCACACGCCGTCAATATATTTTGACAACAAGGTTATCGGTGCTTTAAAGCCAGTTCAGCTTAACGCACCGCTAATAACTAAAGCTACTTAAACGAGGGGTTAATTTATTATAGTGACTAAAGTCTGGCCTGCCAACCACTATTTTGAATCATTCTAGCAGACGAGACAGAAGCGTGGAGAAGGCGCCTCGCTTGTTGCAGCGGTAAAACAAGCGATTGAAACAATTGAGAGTATGGATAATGATTCGGAGGGGAACAGTCGAGAAGCCTCTCAACGAATCACCTTTTTCATTCTCAGCCAACCGGCTTGTCGTCCACTCACCAAGTAACCCGTTCAGAATGAAGGGCCCATGTAATATTTGAGTCTTATGTTTATATTCATTCTTACAGCTAAAACGGATCAGGCTTTCGAAAGAGAAACCGAGTCAAATCTCGAATATCGAAAACAATAGAAGCAGAACATCAAAAAAGGTCGGCTTTCAACACAAACTGCAAATATTATCGCATTGATGGGCTGTCTAGCTTATTCTGCATATAATTGTTTAGAAATGGTGCTTGCAAACCATAGCAGCCCAAATGCTGAAAGCCAAAATGAAATCACCGATCTGAATTCTCGTCAGTAGCAGAGCGCTAGTTGGAGCGCGAGACTTGCGATGACAAATTCGGTCATTCTACGAGCAACCTCGGATATCACCTCGGTACGATAAAATTTATTGGTATGGACTAAGCTCCGTGTATGTTGTAAGCCCTCTTTTTACTTATAGGTGTCTCCTTGTGACAAATCCTACAGGTCATTCTTGATTTTGTGTACCTCTATCAAAAGGTAACGACAATGGAGCACATTCTTGTTTTTTTCAAGGCAAAAAATAAAAACTGGGAGCAGATAAAAATCTGACGTTATCGACGAAGATTTCGTAGAATGGCGAGCACTGGAGCATTGTTTTCCTCAGTTCTAGGTCTTTTTATGACAATTCCACTCTATATCATACTGGACAAAGTTGCTATGACGTCATCATTTGATTTGCGAATTGCACAGAGAGAGCGACAGTCGTTGTTCATGCCGATGCTAAAAAGGTAAATTGAATTTTTTAATTCCCTACATCTAGCATCTTATTGGTCGGCAGCTACAGCAAAACAGCCTTGAAAAAGAGCTGCCAATCTTTCACAGACTTCTGTGAGTCGGATAGCCCGGGCTCGCTGTCGTATTTTGATAAGAATTGGAAGACGTGTGTCAAAATGTGGGTGAGTTTTACCCGTGGTCGCTATTTCAGTGCCAGAAACACCACAACGAACCGTGTCGATGCAAACTGGAACTAATCAAAAATGCACCTGGGCTATCGATCAGGTTTAGGCAAGACAGTCGCGGGAATTTGTGTCATCAAGTTGCTGTCTTCCGTCAATTTACTTCGGATATGAGTCGATATGCGTCCCAACCACGCCCGTTGACGCTGTGCTTGTTTTTTTTCTTTACCGTGTTGCAAGTGTTCTCAGCGAATATGCATACCAGCGCGTGCGACTTGAAGTCCATCACGGGCGATAAGAAGAAGATGTCGACATGGCAGTTTAGTACTGGAATGGAAAATACATGTACATGTCCACTGGATCTCGTCACAGATGCATACATGGGACTTCGAATAAGCATTCCACTTCCGTTCTCTATTGGATTTTTTTTTAGCAGCGAGCCGGCTTCATAACCGTGTGCAAAAGATCCCACTCACAATTGGCAGAATTTCCTGAATCTGCTGTACTTCGGCGATGGGGTGTGAGTGTTGGTCCTGACCTATATGTTGCCATTTGTGATGAAGTAAAATGTAAATCTACTGGATTGGAAGTCGCTACTGTGAAACCTTACAGCGCAAAAAACTATACGGCATTGCCTTCGGACACCACACAACCAATTGGTGGCGAGGCTTTTTCTCGGATTCCAGCGGATCGCAAATGCAAACCAAGTCGGGTGGAGTTTTTAAAACTGGGACGCGATGAAAGAGAGAATGTGGTTGTTCTACCATCGGCAGAGAAGTACCAGTATGCTCTCACCACCCTGGAGCCTCTGCTGAATCAACTCTGGAACTTGTCGTCAGAATTTTTTTACGAGCAGCTAGCTCGTTGGGACCACTTACTTTCAAGTTCTAGCGCTATTGTCGATACAAGTGCTGGTCACGATGGGAATAGTGAAGGCCAATCTGAAACGATGAAACACAATGATTCTGAAAATTCATTTTACGACTTATTTAAGGTTGATTCAGTCGCCGACGATGCGATCGCAGATGTAGATGCCGATACACACCCGCGGTACGTATCACACGACGTGTTCATTGTTCCACAATCATCTCCCGCCTGCGTTGACCCTCCACAGACGAACCTTTACACAGACCTGTCATAGTCCACAAAATTACCGAGCGTGAAAGCATCCTCAAACAGCAAAAACATTGATGTTTTAAGGCTCCCCGCCATAAAACCAAGCAACACAACCCGAAAGACCAAGAAGCAAACGAGTCTCGTACCTGCAGATCGTACCACCGTTATAGTCTGGCCTGATATTTCAATATTGCTGTCAGATCTTCTTCGGTGGGAAAAGTCTCACCTGATATCCCCCTTGTTAAGGCAACACCGAATGAAGGAAATGATCGATCGATTTTTAATTGGACGTGAGCCATTATGTCGTCGAGAATCAGTTGATCAAGCTGGTTTCGGATACAATTTTGTGGTGCCCTTGGAACTAGTGAGGACTATGGAGCGAGTATTAATGGAATAAAACTGTCATGATCCACGCATTGAGAGTCTGCTGCAGCCACTAGATGAATCCAAGAGTACCGCCGAGATTGTGGTGAGCTACCGCAAGCAATTGAAAGAATTCAAAAGGAGAGTAACAAAATTGTTTTGTTTGGTCAAGTTACAACTTGGCTGTAGTAGATTTTCTAGTGCTGTCTCATTTCTTTTGCATTGATGTAGCCCAGCCGTATTTCGCCTCGCAAATTTTATGCGATCTCCCAAATGTGTTCTTCTTGGGAGAAAGAATTGAAATGGCTATTCATGTCTTGATGGCGTGGAGACGACTGTGAATATCGATCGAAAGGGAGGGGGTAAAAAGGGCTGCGCTGATGATATACTGCAGAAGTATAAAACTGCATCAAGCGAACAGCATTTGTACCACCGTCCGGGGCTTTTTCGCTTTGACTTCAACAAGGTAGTTGGGGGCCGTTGCGCGTGGCTGCTTCCTCTCCGATTGGTGCTTCTGATGAGCTTTCAGTGGATGTGCGATATGCGGTATGACTGTCGTGTATTTGATTCAAGTGCCGGGTTAAATTACTGGTCGTCGACCCCAACAATTCCTGGACGACGAACGGTAACTGGAGAAAAGATTTAGGAAGAGTTGTCGCGGATGAAGTATCTTGTGTATCCTTGCAATGTTGAGGGAATACATTGGACGTTGATTGTAGTCAAGATCGACTACTCCAATGGGATTACGGTTTATTAGTACGATCCCATAGGCAGCTATGAATTGGAGATGGAGCGTGAGTTTGATAATAGAATGCCCCCATTTGTCCAGCAATGGCACAACGAATGCTCAAGTCAGAGGGTAGAGTGGAACATAGATCTTCGTGCAAGTGAGGAACCGCTTTGCCCTCATCTTCCGGTAAGTAGAAAAAAGAAATTGAGATACCCAAAGCAACCCGAAGGAGCCAGTTGCGGTGTGATGTTACTTGGACAAGCATACGATATTCTGAATAAACTCTCAAGATTCAACACTTAGCGAAAAATAACGTCAGGATCATGCGCTTGCGTGTGCTGTGGATGCTAGTGTGCTATTCCAGTGAGAGACGACTACCTCCAGATCCACACAATAGTTGTAATGACGTACACGAACAGGTGGTCAAACATTTTAACTTTAAGTAATGTATTTTTTCCACTTTGAAGTTCATTGTTTTTACCAAATCAGTTGAACGACAAATTTCTAGTCGAAGAGTGTTTACACAGATTGATCATTATTATCTTGTATAGAGATTAAAAACAACATTATCGGTACATAACGGTGATATACGCATGTAGTCGATTATGACATTATCGGTGCCTGGCGGTGCTATAAGCTTGTCGTGTGTCGTCATTATCGGTGCTGTAACGCGAGTCGTGCTCAGTTGCTCCGCACACGGTCCTCAAACACCAGGTAGCGCTCTACGTGGGATCAAGCCTCTCTCAGGCAACAAATACAAGCCTATAATTGTAAAACTAGCCAAATGGACTTTTGATATTATAGTAACCCACCAAATCTGCAAAAGTATCCGATTAAAATAGTAATTTTGCAAGTGTCCAGCTAAAAATACAAAAATAACCAGTTCAAAACTTTGGGATTGGTCGTTCAATATGCACGACGATTTGCATAGAAACTGCTATATTTGAACGACGAATTCCTGAGAAGTATCTATTTGATTAATTAAAAACAGGAGATACATTACTCAGAAAGGTATCCCATAAGCTTTTAGCTTTCATTCTACATCGGATTTCAAATTACTCATAGCCAATAGGGCATGCCTTGCATAGGTGCTATCGTTCGTAGAATGATACATAATATGTTATACTCATTCAGTCTAGATACCCTAGCATGAAAAGTTTGAAGGGTTTTAGAAAAAAAAAACTGCAGGTATTTTATCTCTTGAGATGGCTCACATACTTGAACGTAAGATAAATAGCTACTTGCAGAACAGCCCAGATCACCAGGAGTCCCGCCATGAAGTTGTATTTGAGCTCCGGGTGGAAATCGTACGTGTGTGCAATATAGTCGGACACCGTCATCTGCTTGGTAGCATTGCCAGTGTCCACGAGGACAAGATCCTGGTTATTGCCAAACTGGACTCCCACAAGCGCTGCAAGGGAGTAACTTGAAGGGACCAGGTACTGAAACCACTTGTAACCTGGTTTCATGGCTGTTCTCGGCAATAAATACCCCGCGAACAAATTGCACAAGCAGGACAACGCACCAACCGCTACATTCGCCACTTTCTCGTTTGGCATTAGCGCAGACATCCACTGACCGATATACGTGCATGCCGATGTATAGAGGTAAAAGATGAAGAGGAAGAAGAAGAAATCCTCAGCATTGTCGTTCCAACCCACCAGCCAGTACTCGATTACCACGAATAAGCAAATCACCACGATCAAGTAGGGCACCTCTGCACACCACAGTGACAAACTGTAGGGTAGTGGGCCATAGTAGTTCGACATGCGCTCACGGTAGTAGACGGCCCGTTCAGCACACGTCACTTCTAATACCGTCATGAGGTTCATCACTCCGATGAAGTCCATGCTGTTGTAGATGAGACCGACGTGTGAGTTGATCTTCTTCACACTACCCACGGGTAGTTGGTAGAACGTCGTACCGAAGATGACAGCGTAGAGAGGGAATAGGAACATCCGCATGAAGTTGTATTGGGGGTTGCGCCAGTACGTGAGCTGCTGTTTCTTGGCCAACGCACTAAACTGGTTCCAGAATCCAGTCGCGATCGGAGAATAGTTCAGAGTAGAGTGTCTGGTAAACTCATTCGATACCTCGCACAACTTGAGTGTTCGTTCACGATTCGCTCTACCCAACTCGCTGTTCTTGTACTCCACCGAGTAATCCTTCATATCTCTGCCGATACCTGCGCCAATCACCTCCATCATGTACGTAGCTGGGTTATACTGCGGACGGATCCCCAGAGTACCCGGGATAGCAGCGAAATACTCTAGCATCTTGCTGGATTCTTCGCCCAAATCTCCAAAATACGCCGTGTATCCTCCTCTTTGCAGAAGCAATAGACCGTCAAACAGCTCAAAGATTGATATACTGGGCTGATGAATCGTACACAATATCGTGCGACCTGTACGAGCGATGGACTGGACGCCACGCATCACAATTAGAGCCGAGCGAGCGTCCAGACCACTGGTCGGTTCGTCCAGGAACAATATGCTTGGGTTCGCAACCACCTCCACGCCTATCGTTACGCGTTTCTTCTGTTCAACTGACAAGTTCCCGATCATTGCGCTTGCGATTGGATGCAGTTCCAGCAGCTCCAACGTCTCCTCAACCAGCTTCATACGTTGCTCTTTCGTAAACGTTGGTGGTAGTCGAAGGTTCGCTGAAAAGACCAACGCCTCATAGATGGATGCAGCTTCCGAGTGAATATCCATTTGCTCGCAGTACGCCGCGATGCGGCTGAAAGTGGCCGGATTCTTGGGCTCTCCGTTTACCATGATGTCCCCTACAATGCGTCCTCCAGTCTTACGTCCAGCGATCACATCCATCAGAGTCGTTTTGCCAGCACCAGAAGAACCCATGAGGGCTACCATTCGTCCAGGCTCGAAATGTGCAGTAACTCCGCATAAAAGCTGCTTCTCTTTACCTGAAGGTAAAGTTACGAAGTACTCGAGATCCTTCACACATAGATTCGAAGGTGTGAATGGCAACCCACTACTTTTCCCCTTCGTAGTTTCAACAGCTCCAGGTGTAGGTATCTCGACAAACACTTCATCAGTATCTATCGCAGAATGCTGCGGTGAAGTCTTAACGCTCACACCTGAAAACTTTTCGTGTCGGATAAAATGCAGTGCAATTCCATTCAGCGCAGTAAAAAGTAGATAATAGGCTAAAAGAATGCCAACACCAAACCAGATGTACTCCGTGCCTTGAGAGATTGAGAAACTATCCAGATACTTCTCGCTCTCAATATCAGTGTACCGATCGCTCGAAAACTCTGACAAAATGAGACTTCGCAAAGCCCATGCGATTGGATTAAACCAGTACATCCAGATCCAATAATCGGGAATCAAATCGGCTAAAATGATATTTCCCGAGAATAGTAAAAAGAAGCAAACCGAAAGACCAGCGAGCGCCTGCCCCACTGTGACACTGGGAGAAAAAGCACTTAACATCATCATGTACGCGCAAATAGCGTGCTGGAAGCAGGCCACAATCAGGTAGTACACGATGTATTTCTCGAACGACCGAGTCAATCCACTCATGAAGTAGAAAAATGTACCCAGAATGAACGACACCGACAAATTCACTGGGATCTGCACTAAAGCCTCCGCAATAGCATACGACGCAGTGCGGAAGAAGTTTCGAGGGCGCTGCTTGTAGAATACCTTTCGCAGTTGGAACGAAATGGTGATTTGCTGCCACGCCTGACGTTGGAAAAGTGCTAAGTTGAAAAAGCACATTCGCAGATACACCGTTCGCATCGCGTTAAAGTAGATCATACCGATCACAAGACCAATGACCAATGCCTCGACCAGTTTGCCATAGAGCAAAGGAGGGTCACGCAGCCAGATCAATCGTTGTCGGTTCAGCAATAGCAGTGTGCTTGGAATGAACGCCAATCCGAACTCCGACTTCCCTTTCTTTCGAGCGAGGGTTACGAGGCGTTTTGGCTTCTTGCTACTCACCGGTGATGACGGTTTGAGGCTCTTGCTTAGAGCTATTTGGGTCTTCTTGAAAAGCCCGGATTGAGTGAAAATGCTGTTGAAATCCTCGGCCGTGACGGCCAAATACTGTTTCGGCACGTTGTCGTTCGCGTATTGTTGGCCACGTCCGGACGTCACCTCAATGAGGAAATCAGCTGGATCGACACGAGGAGGACAAGTGAAGCCTCGTTCGTCGAAATAACCCAGGATTTCGGTCCTTGGTCCATGGTACACCATTTGGCCTTCACTAATCATCAAAATGTCGTCGAACTGCTCCACCACTTCGGGCGTTGGTTGTAAGAGTGCAACGATGACTGATCCGCCCAACGTCTTGCACCATGTACGCAACGCCTTGACGATATCGAACGTTGCAGCGCTGTCAAGACCCGTGGAAATTTCGTCACACAAGAAGAGACTTTGGCCTCCAACCAGCATTTCACCCACCGTCACACGTCTGCGTTCTCCGCCACTTACACCCCGCAGCAGAGCATTCCCAACCACAGTATCGGCGCAGTTCTCAAGACCCAGAATCTGTAGAAACAACTCCGTTCGCAGCTTCGCAATGTCACGCAATTCCTCGTGTTGGTCTTCTGGACGGCCGTTCATGCACATATCGGCGAACTTAAACGTCTCCCGTACTGTCAGTGTAGGAATGTGGTTATCTGTCTGATCCACTAGTCCGACTAGCTTGACAAGGTCCATTTCATCACCGCGTAGCCCCGCGTATCGGATATCACCTCCGATCTCGGTTTTCGAGTTATTTTGCAATTTACCAGCCAATGCCTTTAGAAACGTCGACTTGCCTGCACCTGGATTAGCTAGAAGTAGAGTCATGGACCCTGGTTTAATGACGCCTGTCATGGGGTGGAGGACGTTCTTTGTCATCGTAGCTTGTCGTTTCCATGGAGTGAAGATCTGTGCCAGATGTGTGCCAACTGTACTGTGACTACCGGTGCCTGCAGGTACTTGAACCGAAAAAGACAGATCTTGGAACCGAATTTCTGGAGTCGGTAGTTGTAGGTTGATCTTGCGCGACAAGTGGTGGTATTTCTTGTAGAACCGCTCGAGTCCGCCGTTTAACATGGTGTTGAGGTTTTCAGTATCGAGAGTGCTGTAGCGAGTCGTCATGGTATCAAGACGCTCACCGTGGCTGTAAGGGTCCTGGATGTTCCGAATGCTGAGAGACCGTAGCGAATCCAGCGCTCGAACGTCCTTAGCCGGAGGCTTGGAGTCGGGCTCAGGACGCAGATAACTCATCTCGGACCTGTGACCGGTGGCTGGTAGGAGAAGATGGTATTATTGCCACGTCTGTCTTCTTGTCAATCTGCAGGTTCAACACTGAGCTTGAGACTTGCCCAAAAACCACGATGATGCAACCACGCTATTCGAAGGCAACCTGTGCTTCAAACGGGCTCCGTATTTAGCGCAATCTCAACAACGGCAGCAAGTTCATCCATCATTTTCTTTATGCCCATTCGGTGCGTATACTTGAAAACCGATCGCTGCGCAATTGAACTATTAATATAGAGTTTTCAATCCCATTCTCCGACGGATTTTTGAGGAACACACATCCACGTTGTCTTACTCGTCTTGACTATTCTAGGAATTGAGGTGGCGCCTTGCGATTGACATGTATTCGCAAAGGTATTTTCGAGGTGGTCCATGGCACATATTCGATAATAACTGTGCAAAATGGTGCAGAGTACACGTCTAAAAGTTGAATTTTCTTGGTACAATGGATGACAGCGTTGGCTTTATATTCGCTTTTGCGAGTTCGTTGGTGTAATTCTGCATTACTTTTAGTATCGGCCACGACAGTCGAGCTCAAACAAATGCAGGGCCAATTTTGCATTGCTGAAGCTCGCAGAGTTGTTCATGATGTCGATTTTCAATACGTGATTTTTTTTTACCAGTATCGATGAAATTGCAAAAAAAAATGTTCTTGCAACTTCAAGCGAGTGTGTTGGTATTTGGTCCTTTGATACGCAAGATTGATCTCGACTTCCTAGTGACACGCAAGGGACCGATGTATTTGCAAATCAAGGCTTGCTCGCGACACTGCCAGGGCTTCCCAGAACCGGACAGCTCGCCGTTAAACCACGAAACTACGAATTGCACACAATGCATTACACTTGTAGCAACAGCATCACAACTTCATCTTATTTCTGCACAAAAACTCAGAACTGAAGCAACAACTGAAGTAGCAAACTTCAGCTTGTGTGTCTTCCGTTGACGCATGTAGAAGTCAAGCCGCACGGATGCCTGCGTGTCGGCAAATGACCAGCATCGCGGCTGTCGACGGACCCTCTCATTACACATGATCATTCAATAATATTACTAATAAAGATACTATCCTCCGTTCCATTTTGATATTTTTCTTACTTAAACACCTTTAACCAACGAATATAGTCTAAAACAAAACATTTGAAAGGATCAGCTGTACCAGCGTCAACTCTTGAAACGCCGTGGTTGTCGCATCTTTGCTGCCCTCCACGACCATCACTCTTTTTTTCATTGTTGAAGACCGGTCTCAGTTGTGGATTTGCCTATCAGCGCGCACCCGGAAGACCTGTGAACCCCCTCCATCATGTGGACGCTCCGCCGCTCTCTGCGTCACTCCACAGGCGTGGCGCTGCCCCACCGTCGCGCACTGACGGCCGCCGCCATCTCGCAGGGCAAAGTGCCCATCAACAACCTCTACGTGACGTCCACGGAGGTGACAAAAAAGACGGCGCCTGTACTCATCGGTCTGGCCCACGTTTTGGAGCAAAAGTTCGCCAAAGTGGGCTATTTCCGCCCCATTCAACCGAGTCCGGACTCGAGCATGGCCGACCACCACGTGGACGTCATGAAGCAGCAACTGGAGCTCTCCAAAGACGTGGAGGAGCTCTACGGCGTCACCAGCTCCCGCGCCATGGAAGCCATGCTCACGGGCAAGGGAGACGACGTCGTGGAGGAAATCCTCGAGCGATACGAGCAGTGTCGCAAAGGCCACGACTTCATGATCATCGAAGGCTCGCAGATCTCGAAACACGAGAGCGCCATGAGCTGGAAAATCAACGTGGATATTGCCAAAGCCATCGGCTCTCCAGTGCTCATGGTCACAGATTTCGGCGACACCTCGGCTGCAAACGACGCACTGATAGAGGAAATGGTCTCGCGTACAGTCATGGGCAGAGACCAAGCAGAAGACGCGGGACTCAACTACCTCGGCACTATTGCCAACCGCGTTCGTGCCTCAAATGTGGATTCTCTACGTGCCTCTCTGAAAAGAAAAATGGGTGACAAAGACATCCCGTTTTTGGGCTTCTTGCCAATGGATGAGATCATTGCGTCCAAGCGGTTGAACGAAGTGACACACCAACTTGGCGCCACGCAACTCTTTGGCCACTCGATAGCCAACGACGCAGTGGTGACCTCTGCCGTCGTGGCTGCCAGTGCACTGAAAGATCTGTTCGCTCATCTGAAAAAGTACAAGGATGGGGCTATGATCATCACGTCTGGAGATCGCTCGGACCTCATGCTGGGGCTCATGGTCTCTCGCTTGCCTGGGGTGTTGCCAAACATCTCGGCTATCGTCCTTACGAACGGCAACTACCCGCACAGCAACACACAGGAAATCCTCAAAGGTGTGCAAGCACTGGATAAAACCGCCCTCTCCCTTCCGATTTTCTCAACGCCTAACGACACATTCTCCACTGCCGATGGGTTTGCAAAGGTTTCGACGGATATTTTACCGTCCAGTAAACTGAAAATCGACCGCTCCAAACAATTATTCGACGAATTTGTCGAGAAGGAAATGCTGATCGGCGAACTGGACGAAGGAATGGTGGTCAACCGGTCTCCGAAACAGTTCCAGCACTTCTTGTTCAGCAAGTCCCGAGCTGTGCAACGCCATATTGTACTGACCGAAGGAGAGGACATCCGCGTGCTTCAAGCTGCTGATCAGATTCTGCGTCAGAATCTCTCCAAGATCACGATTCTTGGAGATCCGGACGAGATCCTTCTGAACGCTAAGATGGCCAATCTCGACTTGTCACGGGCGAATATCGTCAGTCCAGCGAACAGCGCGTTGCTTGACAAATACGTCGACTATTTCTACGCTAAGAGGAAGCATAAGGGCGTCACGAAAGAGCTGGCTCGCGACTACTGCAAGGACGAAACTTACTTCGGTACGCTCATGGTGGAGCTTGGGGATGCCGACGGTATGGTCTCCGGTGCTTGCCACACTACAGCCAACACTATCCGTCCTGCGTTGCAGCTCATCAAGACAGCACCCAACCGGCCTATTGTGTCCAGTATCTTCTTCATGTGTCTCGAGGACGGCGTGCGTATCTACGGCGACTGCGCTGTCAACACGGACCCGAGTGCTCAGGACTTGGCACAGATCGCGGTGACGAGTGCGGAGAGCGCAGAGGCGTTCGGTCTGATCCCGAAGGTGGCGCTGCTGTCGTATGCTACGGGCGACTCGAACTCGGGTCCGATCATCGACAAGGTGCGGGAGGCGACGAAGATCGCGCAGGAATTGCGTCCGGACCTGGATATCTACGGCCCGATCCAGTACGACGCGGCAGTGGACGAGTCGATCGCCAAGACGAAGCTGAAGGCGATTCCTAGTGGCGCGAAGGTTGGCGGCCAGGCGAATGTGTTGATCTTCCCGGACCTGAACACGGGCAACAACACGTACAAGGCGGTGCAGCAGAGCACTGGTTGCATTGCGATGGGTCCGATGTTGCAAGGTCTGCGCAAGCCTGTGAACGACTTGAGTCGTGGCGCAACAGTGAAGGATATCGTCACTACGGTGGCGATCACTGCTATCCAGGCGGACCAGGTGATCATGAAACGTGAGGCTGAGAATGCCACCAAGTAAAAAAAGTGAATTTCTCATGCTTGGCAAAATGTAAATCGAAACGTTTGACTAAAAAAAAAGTGAAATTATCAACAATATTTACTTTTCATGATACAATGAGATGAAGACACAAGTGGCCAGATTCCAGACATGAATGCTAGTGAATCTTTGCATGTCGTCAAGTCAGTGGTGGATAAATTCTGCGCATTGCGTTGACACGAACACGTTGCCAAGCGACTTGTGTCCGTGCCATTGGCTGCTGTCCCGCGCTGTGAGCGTGTCATTTAATAGCGGTGTGTCCTCGTGTTCACCAGGTTTTGGTGCTTGGTGAACCGCCGGCAACCACTTTTTTGCACATTTTCCAGCCGTCCATAGGAAAATGAAGTCAAACGAATTCATTTTGCAGGTTTTTCGCGATGGGCAAACCCCGCCGAAATCGGTTTTCGTGGCCATGCAGCGACGATGCCAAATCCATTCGTCACATGTGTCAGTTGCGGATTTGCCAGACCAAGACCACCAAGCCACTCGACCCCCATGTGGGCGCTGCGTAACACCTTCCGCCGCACGTCGGCAGCATTTGCCCCTCAGCGCCGTGCACTGACCGCTGCTGCCATCGCAGAGGGCAAAGTGCCCATTAACAACCTTTTCGTGACGTCCACTGAAGTGACAAAGAAAACGGCACCCGTTTTAATCGGACTGACCAACACTCTGGAGCAAAAATTCACCAAAGTGGGGTACTTCCGCCCCATCCAGCCGATTGTCGAGACCGACCACCACATCGACGTCATGAAGCAGCAGCTGGGGCTCACCAAGAGCGTGGACCAGCTGTACGGCGTGACGAGCGAGCGTGCCATCGAGTATTGGCTCAACGGCAAGGGGGACGACCTCGTGGAGGAGATTCTCGAGCGCTACGAGGCGTGTCGCGAAGGCCACGATTTCATGATAATCGAAGGTTCGCAAATTTCCAAACACGAAAGTGCCATGAGTTGGAAAATCAACGTGGATATTGCCAAAGCCATCGGTTCGCCCGTATTGACAATTTCCGATTTCAGCGAGTCAGCCAACACGAATGGCGAGCTACTGGAAGAAATTCTATCCCGTACTGCCCTTAATAAGGACCAAGTGGAGGGCGCCGGCCTCAATTTCATCGGCAACATTGCCAACCGCGTTAACACCAAGGACCCCAAGGCTCTCCGCGACGCAATTCGCTCCAAGCTGCGCGAAAAGGACCTGCCGTTCCTCGGTTTCTTGCCCAGGGACGACTTTATCGCGTCCAAGCGTCTCAATGAGGTGACGCACCAACTCGGAGCGAAGCAACTCTTTGGCACCAAGGCAATTCCCAACAATGTCGTGGTCACATCGGCCGTGGTGGCAACTAGTGCGCTGAAAGATTTGTTTGCACACTTGAAGAACTACAAGGACGGCGCTCTAGTCATCACCTCGGCGGACCGGTCGGACGTTATGCTGGGTCTTATGGCCTCTCGTCTGCCCGGTATCCTGCCTAACGTGTCGGCTATTGTGCTGACCAATGGCAGCTACCCGCACAGCAACACACAGGAGATTCTCCAAGGCGTGGAGGCTCTGGACAAGACAGGCCTCTCAATTCCGATCTTCTCGGTGCCGGAGGACACTTTCACTACTGCGGATAAATTTTCAAAGGTGTCGACGGATATTTTACCCACCAGTTCCTTGAAAATCGACCGATCCAAGCAACTTTTTGACGAATTTGTGGGCAAAGAGAGCATCATTGGCGAACTGGACGAAGGAATGGTGGTCAACCGATCGCCCAAGCAGTTCCAGCACTTTTTGTTCAGCAAGTCTCGTGCGGTTCAGCGCCATATTGTACTGACCGAAGGAGAGGACATCCGAGTGCTTCAGGCTGCTGATCAGGTGCTGCGTCAGAAGCTGTCCAAGGTCACGATTCTGGGCAATCCGGACGACATTGAACGCCACGCCAAGTCCTTGAACCTCGATCTTTCGCGTGCCAATATTGTACGCACAGCAGACAGCGATCTGCTCGAGAGATATGTGGACCAGTACTTTGAGAAGCGTAAACACAAGGGCGTGACTCGAGAGTCCGCACGCGATGCTGTGCTGGAGGAGACGTGCTTCGGTACTATGATGGTTGAGATGGGAGATGCCGACGGTATGGTCTCCGGTGCTTGCCACACTACAGCCAACACTATCCGTCCTGCGTTGCAGCTCATCAAGACAGCACCCAACCGGCCTATTGTGTCCAGTATCTTCTTCATGTGTCTCGAGGACGGCGTGCGTATCTACGGCGACTGCGCTGTCAACACGGACCCGAGTGCTCAGGACTTGGCACAGATCGCGGTGACGAGTGCGGAGAGCGCAGAGGCGTTCGGTCTGATCCCGAAGGTGGCGCTGCTGTCGTATGCTACGGGCGACTCGAACTCGGGTCCGATCATCGACAAGGTGCGGGAGGCGACGAAGATCGCGCAGGAATTGCGTCCGGACCTGGATATCTACGGCCCGATCCAGTACGACGCGGCAGTGGACGAGTCGATCGCCAAGACGAAGCTGAAGGCGATTCCTAGTGGCGCGAAGGTTGGCGGCCAGGCGAATGTGTTGATCTTCCCGGACCTGAACACGGGCAACAACACGTACAAGGCGGTGCAGCAGAGCACTGGTTGCATTGCGATGGGTCCGATGTTGCAAGGTCTGCGCAAGCCTGTGAACGACTTGAGTCGTGGCGCAACAGTGAAGGATATCGTCACTACGGTGGCGATCACTGCTATCCAGGCGGACCAGGTGATTTTGAAGCGCGAGGCTGAGACTGAGGCTGCGGCCTAGTTGGCAACGACGTCGGATGTACCCGATGCACGCATTAACTAGCTCGACACGTTGAAAAGCTACGGCGACAATAGATTCAAAGAGACGCTGGTCAACGCACGGTGTGCTCGCAACTTTGTGCATAATGGAAGTAACTTAACTGCTTTGATTGTTGTTTGAATTTACTAGTAGTAATCCAGCATCTGCACTGGAAAGTTTAATACTTTATTTTAGAAGAGCTTGACAAAAAAAATCTTTTTTTATAAAAGCATTTTTTTTAACGTTGATAGTGAATGGGTTGTTAACACGAGATGCCTGCGTTACTGGAGCGGCGTTGGAGCTTCCTTGCATCTTGGTGCGCAGCATTGAAGGGGAAGCTCCGCTACGGCTGCGTGGCCATCAAGGGGGGACTCTGGGACACCCAGAGGAGCACTCTCCACATCACCCTCCGCCGAGAAGACACCGAGGGAGATGTAACATTCAACTTTCAGCGAAAGTTGAGGAAAACTCGCGAAGCATTAGCTCTACTGGCAGCTGTGGAGCATGCGGACTACACGGCTTGGAGACATTTACTGACTGTTCAACGTGGAATTGACGTGGGGAAAGAAGGCGAAGAGAAGTTCGAGGATAGAATTCCAGTAAGATTTCTGTTATGTGTTGACTTAAAAGAAGAAGACTCTATTGAGTACGACTTGGTGAAATTTTGTGGTGTCGATCAGCGTAATTCCAGTCAAGAATTTTATCAAACTTTGGCAAAAATCACAGCTCTGGATAAAAACATTCATCCTGATCGAAGAGGAATTGACATCGAGATTCCCGTACAAGTTTTCTTTTCTACAGATCGAATCAAACCAATGGAAGTGTCAGCATCAGAGCTTATGGCTTATGGGGAGGCTGTGAGAATAATAAGAGACGAGTGGAGACAATATGAGGAAGGAGCAGAAAATCTTCCGATAGCGCGTGGATCGCTACGATGCACTTTCGTACTGGAACCACTGGCTGTAGATTTTCTTGGTATGATGATGCACTCGGAAATGATTAAAACAGTGGAGATTTTGCTTCAGAATAATATTTGGTTCTCACAACTAAAGCGTTTGCGACTGGAATTACATCAGGATTTGTGGGACAACGAGCTGGAATCGAAAAAGGCATTCGGTCAGCTTTTCACTGGACTATTCGACAGTACTCGACGCACCAATCTGTACAGTTCTAAACCAGATTCTTTCCAGCTTGACCAACTCCAGTTGTTCTCTATATCTACCATGGCAGCTTCAGATTTCGTGGCACTTGCGTCGGCTCTGACTGTAAATCAAACGGTCAGGAAACTAGAAATCCAGTTGTCTCTCCAAGGTCATGCACAGCTTACCACTCGCTATTGGTGGACATGTCTAGCGTACGGTCTTTTCTCGAAGCGATCGCGTGGTTTTTCATCGTTGGAGTCCGTCGACATCAAAATTCATGGGATTGCTACAACAGACATGAATGGATTCAATGACATCGTGACATCCGAACATCCTGAAGAAGAATTGCTTGGCTTTCCACATGGAGCGATAGAAGAGCGAGTTGCGACGTTGAAGGGCGGGTCTTCGATGCGATGGCAGTTTAACTATCGTGGAGAACCAAATCTAGACTCTGATTTACTGTCAATTCCGTCTCCAGTATCTTTTGTTCGCACATTTAGTGACGATGGTGTGAGTGAATGGGTTAACGTGGTGATTCCTGGATATGGCCACTGCCAAGTCCAGCGTGAGAATTTAGAGTTTTATGAACCTAGTTCGGTTAACTCCGGTCCACGTCTTTCTACACTTAACCTTGAGATTATTGAACCCAGGAGTATGGACGGGTTACCACTGTTGTTAGCTGCAATTGGGGCGTCACTTAAAGTGCTGACACTTAAAGTACGAGTCTTGGAGCTGGATGTTAACAGCATACTTCGAAGCTGTCCAAACCTGGTAGAACTGTCACTGAGTACGGATATGATGGATATACAGCTCGTTCTGGACCAATCTCACGAGATTCAGCAGTCTCTGTCTGAATTTAGTTTGGATTTGAACGACATTACATCGCTCTCAAGGAGCCTAAGTGACGGGAGTAACTCACTGTCCAAGTGTGTTCGTCGGTTGCGTGTTCGTCCAGCGAATTGCTGGTTGGTTAGACCAGCGAATCTCAGTACATGTGAGGCTGATGTGAATACTTGTCTCGATATGTTGGCAAAGAACCAATCACTGTCGTACTTTGAAGTCATAGTTCCCGGTGAACTCAAGCAATACATGGGGAGTTTTAGACAATTCCATCTCCAGCCAACTCTCCACACGCTGAATCTTCCGTTGGAATCAAAACTTGCATTCATCAGTGCAGTGTACGCTCCCATGATTACAGCTCAAGCCGTAAATATTGCTGCACGAGAGAGATCGTCGTTGCATGAGCTGAGCCAGGATATGCTCTGCAAAATATTTGCCTGCGCAATATCCCCCATTTCTCGCCAAGTCTTTTTTCAATCCCAGCACGTGTTTTTCGGCTGAATATAATAACACGGGTATTTAGAAAATCGTTCTTGTATGCAAGATGAAAACTGAAGCCCCCATCTTCGAAGTGTGATAGTCCCAAACGATTAATATATTTGCAGTTTTGGGGTGCACTATCGATATGATATATGTTCATAAGTATATATATTTTTATTGAGGTTTTAAGCTTCTAGTAACCATTCAGTTTTTATTCTCTCTCTCCATGGAGACAAAGAACCCGAAAAAAAATAGAATGGTTACTTCCAGATCCTTCCTTAGATCTGAATATTCAGAGCGTTACGTCCTTGTGAAGTACATGTAGCGCTCCTTTGACAAAATGAACTTGAGTGTAATCAGTCGTCGTATGATGCACTTGGTTTTAGTAACTAACCCTAACTCTAGCGGCGGCACCTTTAAGCTTGCTGATTAAGGACGGTCTTGCTTTTATAATAGTAGCTGGTCTTGTCATGTCTTGCATTAGAAAGAGAAGATCATCGTAGTAGGTAAATGTCTTGTAGTAGTAGTCCCGTATCTTGATTTAGTAGGGAAGTATCTTGTCATAGTACTAAAATAACTTGTGGTAGGGGGGGAAAATATCATGCATATTTCTTAGTGCACTTTGTTACTTGGAAGTATAACATTTTTGTCAAGGAAGCAGCTTCTGCCCAAAATGCATTCACATGTCAAAACGTGCTGCGAAAGTTGCTTCCCTTTTTTTTAAACTACAGTTTTATCGCTCCTATTCGCTAAAAGTAACATTTGATTGGCTAAAAATGTGTTACATGATGGAAAGAAGTTGCAATTTGCAACTTGCAATACAAGCTATAGTATAGACATGACGTGCTGGTACGATTATGGTACGGCACGTACGAGTAGCAACCATAATCTGATTATTGCCGTATTACAAGTATTGTCATGCAACAGATTGAGCTCAAAATCTACCACCTCCGCTTTACCATTCCGCAACTTGCTCCGTGCATCCTACCTACCCTTCCAAGTACAAATCCGACTAGTTCACATGCGTTACATTCTCGTGATGACAGTGTCCGGTGCACTTGCGATCAGCAGCACTGTTTCGGCAATCGCTATGGGGTTTCAAGCATATCAACAGGCCCAAGACAGTCTCCACGATAGCGCTGAGAAGATAGGCAAACCTGGCGGTCTTTTAAGAGGTCTTACGGCGGCTTACAAGCTCGACACGGCCGACGGCGAAGAGAGAGTGTTTGGTTTGGAGAAAATGAAGGAGGCATTGGCTAACAGAGATAAGGTCCAGCTGGCGAAGAAGTTGGTAGCTGACCGTGCACCTATGAATCGCATTCTCGGCGAAAATATTGAACCGAAGCAACTGTACAAAGCGTTGGGTTTTAGAAAAATGTTGGGAATCAAGTACGAACAATTCAAGGCGCTGAAAGACGCAGATCGAACCAGAGTCAGCCAAATAATTAATGCAAACGAACAACTGATGTCGAAGGCCACAATGCTGAGACAGTACGAACACGTGTGGACCCAGAACTTGCGTGGAGCCACAAGTTAGCGTTTGATCAAAAGCACATTAGCTTTTATACGTAGTAGATGACTAACGAAAACCTCCTAACGCGACTTTTTTTCTTTACAACGGGCAAAAAGTAAAAAGGTATGGGTGTTTTATACTATGCACGCAACATTTTGATTTCCGATCTCATTTCGATCTCAAACGTGTACCTGGTATCCGAAAAAGATATGACCTGGGGCCTTCCTTGCGTTTTCTTCCAACTGCTTTTGTTGATATCAGAGAGAAGACGGGTTGTGTAGCTCATTCAAGGGGCTGCAATTTTCAAACTAAAATAATAATACCACGACCTTAGTCGACGAAACACACAGAGATCTCGGAGATCCCTCTCGATTTCGCTGATCTGCTGCATGACATCGCGGCTTCTCAAAGACCGCTTTGTGCGTCTCGACTAGATTTTGAATTGTCACTCTTCCGTTGTTCCCAACAGTGGCGAATCACTACTACTATAATCACCAGCGGCGATTGTAGTAGAAATTGGTGGATTTGGAACTGAGTGTATTGCTGTTGATTAAATTGAGCCCACTGCTTGAGATCTAAAGCTAATGATTGACGGGCAAGCACTGACGCTTATCAGCCAGCTAAAATCCTCTTGTCTACAATGAATAAAAAGTCACAAAAATATTGCCCGCCCGCTACCAATTATGGACATCTGGAATGCCCATTCCATCAATAATACTCGCAGTCGTTTCGAGAATTTCTGTTGGTCGCATCAAAAGTCCGAGGCGCCTCGTAGCAACTACAACCTTCGACATGCAATTGCTTCTGCTGCTATTCTTCTTGGGCACAATTGCCAACGATTCAGCGTTTGGATTTAGCTGCGATGGAGGCTGCAGTGGCCATGGCGCATGTCAGCGTTCAACTGGTCGCTGCACTTGCTTTCCAGGTTATGGCGGGGCTACGTGTGCTTCGAGACTTTGTCCAACGGGAGCTGCCTGGGTAGATCGAGCATGGGCAGTCGACAAGGCCCACCAACCTGCTGAATGTTCCGCTATGGGTCGTTGTGATCGATCCACTGGTACTTGCACTTGTGAGTCAGGATTCGAAGGAGTGGCTTGCGAGCGTTTATCGTGCCCCAATCTGTGCTCGGGCAATGGCCGGTGCATCAGTATGCGCGATGCTGCAACCATACAAGACGACCGGAACTTCTTTGTGAGCACAACTTACTCTTTGTGGGACGCTGACAAGATCATGGGATGTCAGTGCGATCCCGGCTTCACTGGCTTTGATTGTTCCCAACGAGAATGTCCCAAAGGTGACAACCCCTTAACTACCGGACAAGTTGATGCTATTCAAGATATTACTTGTACATGCAATAGTTGCAGTGGCACCTTCGCTCTATCATTCCGAGGTCGAGTGACTGCAAATCTCGCGTCAACGGCCACGTCGAGTGACTTGAAAACGGTGCTGGAAGCTCTTGATAATATCTACGGAGTTAGCGTTGTAGCTGGTACGCCGCTGTGTTCAATTGGTGGAACTACCACATCGATTACGTTCACGAATAATCCAGGAGATCTGCCGAAGCTGCAAGTGATAAATAACCTCTCGAATGGTGCCACAGTTACTGTACTAACCAGTCAAACTGGTACCCGTGAGAACGCGTATTGCTCGAATCGTGGCAATTGCGACTTCGCCACTGGAGTGTGTAAATGTATTGCCGGGTTTACTAGTGGCAATGGTGCAATGCCTCCGTCCGCAGGGAGAAGAGGAGACTGTGGTTACCAGTCTGGAACAGCAATCTGTCCATCTACTAACCTTGGTGTATGCGATACTAAGGGCACTTGCTCCGCTGCAACATCGTACGAATGCATCTGCTATACCGGATATACCAGTCATGATTGTTCCATACGCGAGTGCCCTAAAGGAGCTGCATGGTTTGATGGCGCTACAGCTCCAGATACGGCACATGCTATGACAGAATGCTCAGGAAGAGGCTCGTGTAACACGGCCACAGGTGTCTGCACGTGTCTAGCACCTTTTACTGGTGCAGCCTGCGACTTTATCCGTTGTCCGACTGGTACATCGCTAGTTTATGGAGTTACTTGTAGTGGTCGAGGCACATGTAAGAGTATCCAACAACTTACCTCCGAGGCAACAGATCTACAGGGAAATCCTCTAGGACTTACGTATGGTGCAACTCCCAATACACCGGCGACGTGGGATGCTACGAAGATTCAAGGCTGTGACTGCGAGACGAATGATTACTTCGGACCATATGAGAACGCCTTCGGAGACTTTACTGGAGCTCACGATTGCTCTGCGCGGATGTGTCCAAGGGGAGCGGATCCATTTGAAGTCGGAAAAGTGAATGAAAAGCAGACGTTAACATGTACAGCTGACGGTGGTGAGTTCACGCTCACTTTTCGAGGAGAGACGACGCCTGTGATTCCGTTTAACGCTGGAACTGCACAAGTCCGATCCACACTCCAGACGCTTGAGAGTGTGCGCACTGCTACGATTACTTTTGACTCAGGGTCCGTTGTCTGCTCTGCTTCCGGCGTCAGTACGTACTTCAGTATTTCCTAGTTGTGAATTGTGTACGATTGATCTCAATTGATGTTTCTTGGATGTAGCAACAACTGTCGAGTTTACATTTATGCAAGGTGATCTGTCGCCGCTGAGTGTTGATGCTTCAGCGCTTACACTTGCAGGAAATCCAGGTACGATGCCAGTGGCGGAGCTTGTGAAGGGAACCAAGGCGAATATCGAGTGTTCAGCGCGTGGTGTCTGTGGTATGTCATCATTTTTTCATGATTACAAAATTAAAGTAATGCTGATTGATACTTTTTGTTTTAGACCGATCGACTGGCATTTGTGATTGCTTCCCGTACTTCCTGAGCTCCGACGGCGCTGGTGGCCTTGGTCGTCGAGGAGATTGCAGCTATATATCTCCGTACCCCAGCGTCACGCTCTCGTAAAAAAAAAAAACCCTCCGTAATTCAACAGCAATTCACTTGTTAAACCTCGCATCCTCGATCGGATCTTGGGATCTCCACGCTACCACAAGGCCTTCATCAAGTGCTGCTAGCCTTGAGACCTGCTCAATTGTCAGCGTGATATTCACAACCTCAAGATTCGCTTGTTGGCGCTCTGGATTCGCTGACTTTGGCAACGTGATGTAGCCATTTGCCACCAGCACCTGTGCTGGGGTAGCTCCCACTTCATGGGCGACTGAAAGAACTGTTGGGTCCACCAACTTGCGAGTTCTGGCTAAAGGGGAATAGGCTTGCAATAGGATATTATGTTCCTTGCAAAATTCCACCAACGACGGACGGATGTAGCTCCAACTGGTTCACTGCGGGTTTTACTCTAGCAGCTTTCAGAAGTTTTTCCAGATGAGCTTGACCAAAATTCGACACGCCAATGTTCTTGAGAACTCCTTTGTGTTGCAAATCCTCAAGAGCTCGTCACGAGTGTGCAGCAGATACAAGTCGAAGTACGTCAAGCCCAGTAGTTCGTTACTGGCTATAGTGGCAGCAAATGCTTTCTTGTACCCCCAATTGTCAGTGAAGAGTTTACTCGTGATAAAACTCTCCCGACGGGGTACACCCGAGTCACGGACAGCACGACCCACGTCAGCTTCGTTCTGATAGAACTGGGCAGTGTCGATGTGGCGGTAGCCAAGCTTGAGCGCCAATAGCACTGCGTTGTAGGCCTCAGCACCAGGCTCTGCCTTGTATACACCCGTCCGATGGCGGGGATTTCAGCGCCACTGGGTAAAGTCTTGGTAGGCACGGTGACACTCATAAGTGCGAAGCTTGAGAGCTTGCTGGAGAGTTGGCAAATGTCTTCAAAAGGAAGACAACTTGGCACGGTGCGTAATCCGCCTGACTGGCAAACTTCGTTGACGTCCTCCAGAATGAATGTACGAGATGGCAAAGCAAATGGCATCAGCAAAACTGAGAATGCAAAAACTGCTTTCCAAAACTGAAATTTGAACCTGCAAAATCACCATAGAAACGTCATAAAATAAAATGTGACTGCCGTTGATACTATCCATGTTGCCATCGAAAAAACCTTCACCGAGCTGCTGGCTGGTATCTACAGCACCAATTCGAATTCCATAGGTAGTTCCAGCGTTCCTGCTGCTACAACTTGATCTGCAGTTATTACTGGCTTGCTCCCTGCTTTAACCTCCGTCGTCGGATGCTGTCGATGCTGCTCTTCTTGCTTCGTTCTCTCCATTTCCTTCTTAGTAGCCAACACTTGCAATTGCGACTCCCGCTGCTTCTTTTCCTTTGCAAGTCGGGCCTGTTTGTCCAGCTCTTCTTGAATAAATTTCTGTACATCAGCGTTTCGCTGAGCGACGATTTCTGGCGGAGGCTCGTTCAGTCGCTCCAGTTCTCGTCGCCTCTGCAACTCCTGCTCCCTCATCTGCTGTCTCCATTCCTTAAGTCTTTGGTCCTCTATCTGCTTCAACTGTTGGATCCTCAGCCGTCGACGTTGCTCCGCCTTTTGGTCTCTTATCTTTTGCTTCTTCCTTTTCTCCTCTTCTTTCTGTTGCTCTCGTTTGAGCTTTTGTTGTTGCCTCTCGAGCTCAATTTGCTGTCTTTTTAGTGCAATTTGAGCCTCACGCTCTTGTTTCTGCGCTGCTTGCCGCTCGAGTTGCCGTTGCTCTTCCAGTTGCCTCGCTCGCGCTTGCTGCTCGGCGACAACGCGCCTCTTCTGCTGGCGAGAGGATCTCCTCGTGGGCTCGACTTTGCCAGCGGGTTTGGTCACTTGAGGACGCGGCGAGCAGTGAGCCATGGCAGGAAGGTTCAGTGACGCTAGCATCCGCTTGTTTTCTTCCATGCGCTGGAGACGCTTGGCCTCATACTCGCTCAGCGCTTCGTCATCCTGCATAATGCTTGAGACGTCGTATCAAAAATGGATGGCTACATTTTTGTCACAAAAAAAAAAAGAAGTTGGAAACACACAAATTTTACACTAAAGAAAGCACTTTTGTTGTGATGAAATCTATTTTGTTCATATTTTTAGTTAGCAGGTTGTGAGGAGGGTACGAAGGTTCCCCCAGTTCAGCGCGTTGATGTCGAGTAGCTGGAATGAGAACTCCAGCGGGTTGGATCGGTAGCCAAGATAACCGAGCCGTCCGCAATAGATATATGGGCCCTACGAAAAAGGAAGTTAGTACAAAAAATTACGATGAAACTATACCAAACTTTACCTTAGGATACTGGACGAACAGCAACAGAGGTTCTGGCTTCAGATCGGTTGGACTCGGGGTGTCATAATAGTTGTCGTCAAAGCGGAGTTGTTCTTCACCCTTTTGTACTCGACGCAGTCGTTCCAAAATCGGCGGCGTGATATCTTGGCAGCGAGCCCATCGGAAAATTACGTGCTTTCGGCCACGTACTATTACTTCTTGAAACAAATAGCGGTAAAATATCCCACTCGTGGCATTCATGAAAAAAGTCATTGCGTTTTGCCACACGTGAAGGCCACCATCACTGCGAAACGCTGGATTATATCCACCAGGACACAGAGCCTGCATCACGGAATTCTTGCCTGGAGGCAAGAATTGCTTTCCCAACGAAAATCCGTGGAAAAGGTTTGCGTCCACTTTCAACAGTGGCGTCGGCTTCACTTTACCCTGTTTGGTTGCGTTCGAGATGCGTATAAACGGCAAATTTACTTGCTGCACAGGGTACAGCTCTCTGCTAATTGCTTCCGTCTTTTTTCTCTCCTTTTCACGTTTCAACCTGCGAGTTTCCTCCTCATGTCGCTCGACCTCTTCACGTTTAATTTCCATTTGAGTTGTCCATATCTCCTCTTCCAGTTTGATTTTCGCTGTTATTTTTTCTTCGCGCTCCCTCTGTTTTTCCTCTCGCTTTAGTTGCTTGGCGTACTGTCGCGACAATCGATCTTCCTCCCTCATCAGCTCCAGTTCCTCGAATCTCTGCTGTTTCTCAACTTCCTTGAGGAAAAGTCTCCCCATTAACTCTTTCGCTCGCTGCTTCTCCTTCAGCTCCCGTTTTATCCGTTTTCGCTCCATTTTTGCTACGTTCTCCTTCTCTCTCAGTGCTTTCCTTTCTTCTCGCCTCTTCAACGACGCTTTTCGTCTCTCCGCTTGAGCCTGTAGCTTCCTCCTCAATCTCCAGTCAAGAATCCTCGGCTGCTGCTCGAACTGCTGTACTGGATCTAAAGTTACACATTGATTCGGTTGATCCTTCTCATGTTTGTGCTCATGCTTCTCGTTTTGCGACGTCTCGAGCTCTTTTTGCAGCTTTTTCTCGAGTTTCTTCTGCTTTTTGAGCTCTTTCATCTTCTGCTTCTCGAGTTTTTTAAATCGTTTCCGTTCTTGCTTGTCAGACTTGATGCGATCTCGTTTTTCCTGCTTAAATTGATGTTCTTCTTGTTTCCAACGCTGTCTCTCGCGCTTCCGCAACTTCTGTTGACGCAAAGACTTTCGCGTTGGTTCCTCTGGCTTCTCTTCGACATCTCGTTTCCGCTTCTTGTTCTTCGAAGTTGGAAGTAAAGGCGCTGCCAACGTGGGGAGATTGAGCGCCTGAAGCTTCCTGCGGTTCTCCTCAATGCGGCGCAAGCGCTTGGCCTCATACTCGCTCACCTCGGCCGAGTTCATCACAAAAATGACTGGCAGAGTGAAAAGTGTCACATAAACTGGGTATTATTTTGGTTTGATGCAAAAATTGTGTTCCTAAAAAAAACTGAGATCGATTTTTTTTTTTACTGGAAATGCTAATAAATTTAACTGTTATTTCACAATTATTACTAAACAAAACTGAAAAGACACAAATACTGCGGTGTGTAGCTCGGTATGGTCTACGCATGCAGTATGATTCATATTACTGTACCAGCTTCATTGCGATTTGAGTTGCAATCTAGGACTGCAAGAATATACGCCTCCGGCATGGCCTTCGGCCACCTCGAAAAACAACGGGTGTGTGAGGGGGTACTAGAATCGAAGATGCTAGTCAACATCGACAATGGCGTTTCATTCTCAGCAAGACGCTACCAACACGCTGGCGACTCCAACAATACAACCGAATCCACTGCGCTACTGCTCTTCGTTGCAGAGGACACTGAACAGTCCTGGCCAATCCATTTCGGCTACATCCATTAGCAGCAGTCGGAATTCGACCGAGTCGGACTCAAAACCAAGATATCCGATTTGGTCCACAGTAAATGTAGCCCCCTACACAACAAAACCGAATCCAGTAAATCTTCTCAGCGGCAGAGATTATGCTAAAATACTTTACAGACATACCTTAGCTTGCTGAAGAAAAAGTAAAATTGGGTAGCATTGACTCCTCGTTTGAATAGTACGAGCCATTCAGTCGCAGCTCTTCATTCCCGTTCTGTGCCTCGCGTAATCGCTGCACCATTGCCGACGAAAGCTCTTGTTGCTGTGTCTGAGCGCTCCAGTCGGAATAAACACCATCACTCTCGCATTTCAGCATGCGGCTGTAAGGTTTGCTGTCACCCTCCCTCACAAACAAAGTTATTGCGTTTTTCTACAGATATACCTTGCTCATTATAGAGAATCGCATCGTGTATCCAGGAGGACACAATACTCCACCACCGTTTGCTTCACCGCTGGTAACAACAGACAGCGTGAATGGAACGTATCCAGATCAATCTCCAACGATGAACTTGGCATATGCTATAGTCTACCATCTTCAATCGTGGATTTCAATTGACACGAATACACAAACGGCAGGGCGGTTGGGGGCGGATAAATCTTCAAAGCTCGTTGGAAAAAATGCTGCCTCCGTTTCCCCCACTGTTTGTGCTCTCGCCTTTGCTGCTGTTGCAATCTCGCAAGCCTCAACGCTTGCTTATGCTGTAGCCCACGCGCTGCAATGCTTTTTTGTTTGTGCAACTTCATCGTGATCCTGTAAGCGTTCGATCTTCTGTTGTCGCTTCTTCCGTCACAACTCCTCCTTTTGCGCTGATTTCTGTCGGACGCTCCTGGACCTCCTCACTGGTTCCTCCCTCTGTGTTTGCTTGGCGCTGGAACGGATCTTGCGCGGTGCGGGAATTGTTGATGGACTCAAGAGCTGCATCATCCGCCGATTCTCTTCCGCGAGCGCTTGGTCTCATATTCGCTAGCCGCAAGAACCCCTGGTTTCTCAGGACGAGTGGTCTGGAATTTGAAATTGATCAGTTTCTCTCACTGATAGACCAAATTTACCTGCGACCTCAATTAAATATTGTACGGTTTTCATGTTCATGCCTGTTTTTATCAGCCACGAACACCAACTCGTATCCGCTGAAATGAAGCGCAGCATAGTACATGTACTATGTAGGAACTCGAAAGAGTATGACGGATATTAGACTACTTCACTATTTTTTAAAAGCCACTTTAACCCGAGCGAATATAACTATTCTCGACATTGCGAGTAATATAAAACCCAGTGCCGATGATGCCGAAAATTGCCAGGAATAAAATACCATACGCGATTCTCATGCCCTTAACGTCTCCGACGAACTCAATCTTCTTCAGTTTCTCAATAAACTCGCCAATTTTCCCAACCTTCTTCTCCGTGAGAGCGCCCGGGTTCTTCGCGATGGCACTCCCAAGTTTCTGGAGCTTCTGGTCGCTCTTGATACTATTGACGACTTGTGCATCAGCCTGCAAACCCTTGACCTTAGAGGCCGTATTCGTTCCGAAAATCTTGGCTATTGGTGATACTGCCTTCTTCAGCATGTCCGTCACTCCCCTCTCCTCTTCCTCCGCTGTAGTTGTGCTGCTTCCCTTTAGGTTCCTGTTACTCCTTTCATTCGTGCTCTTCAGGTCGTCGGTCAAAGCAGCGTTCTCATTGCCAGTAAGGCCTTGGACGCCTGCTGCGAAGGCGAGGACGAGCACGACCAGGAGAAAGCTCTGACGCATGGCCTTTGAAAGTCGTTAGCTTTGGGTACTTGGAGATCGATTGGAAAATGAGCCATTCAAAAGCGCAAAGCCTCTCGCTCTTCCTCGACGCTCCAACAGCAAAAACCAACCCTGCAGTGCCCGTTACAATGACAAGGCGACGCAAATCGAAACATGTACAGAGAGTCTATCGTAGACAGCGACAGTCCCAAGAATGAGTTCCAGATGACCAACAACATACAAAATACCAGTAAAATCCTTCAAGTACACATTTTAGCAAATCTAAGAACCCATTCCTCGGCGTTCGTAGCCAGGATGAATTTACACCTTCTTCAAGTGTGAAGTTTTGCAGCATCAGAAAAGAATCGAAAATGAATCGACGAAGTGCCGGAGCGGTCGCGTAGAGAAAGTCACCAGGATGCTCTCGTCACATACGATTCGAACAACTTCAACGCAATAAACCTTGGCACTGCCAACGGTGTCGTAACAGTACATGGCAGCAATACTCGCAGGCCGGTTAAATGCTGATACACGTATTGCATCGTTGTCAACTCTGTGGTTATGAAGATGTACATTATGTGCAATGCTGCTGGTTAAACGCGTCATGCACAACGATCGCCTCGTCGACAAAATATTTCGGAGCTTTACTGCTGTAGATAAAAAAAAGCAACATAAACCGGTGAACATGATGAGCGTTGCCATGGTGGCAATGCCATCGGCAACGTGGGCTTACCGTACCGGTATCCCACGGATACCTGCTACAATTCAGTTGGCACTTCCAAGGTGGCAGCACCACCATTCGTACCATAGCGTTGTTAACGACGCACCGTTGGCTGTTGTCTCCTAAGTTATGTAACTGATACGAAGATTGCTAAGTTGGTTGCAATAATTAAGTGAAAGAGTCAACACCCAGGCAATCCACTGGGTCTGGGCTGTCCAGATCCAGACCAGAGTTTCGATCATAGCACCAGAATATGTGTGACACGAGGAAATACTCAACCGACGACTGCAAGAAGAACCTTTTTAATACCAGTTGTTCTTCTTGCATTGAATGTTGTGCGTGCAAAATTTACATCGTAAATTTTAGCACAACTACTGCCACATCAGCAAATCCATGCCCAATATTTCGCTAGCATGATGGCGGATTAGAGCGATTTACAACAAGTTTTATTGTGTGTCGCTGATACAGTAGCAACAACTCAACGGATAAGAAGGTATCAAATCGGGTCACCGGTGAGTCTGGTCGTTTTCGGGCCCGACACCAAAAAATGAGCCTGTTAGGACTCGTACCCAAAATAAATCGAAAACAGTGTTTAATAAGTTCGAAGTAGTAACCTATTGCACCGCTCACACGCTGCCCATATCGTGCAGTACTTGAAGCGATTGCAACTTGTTTACTTGCTCTAAGACCATGATATCGATCCAGTGTACTTGTATTATTGACTCTGTGAGTAGCCCACCGCGTTTGATATCCTTTTCGATAATACTGACCCTGTCTAACATTCTGTGCTCGACATTGCTGTCATTGTGCTGTATACTATTCGACTGATAAGTAGAACCGGCGTAGAGAGAACAAGGGCACCTTGTTAGGTTGGCATGATGCTTTGAATCACACGCACAGATCACGGAGAACCGGATGACTTGGTGTCTAGAGCGCTATTATACATCTACCCCGTTATCGTGATGTATCATAATAAGCCGCGTGATCCAGTGTCTTTGTAAACTCGTCCGCGTAAACCGTCACCGTCGTCAGCGAGCTCTGCCGACACGATCGATCTAATACCGTCAACTCCGTAGAAACTAGCACCAAATTCAACAGAACCTAAGCAAGACCAGACCCACCGGTGACCCGAAAAAAAGTCTACCCATATCCGTTGGTACCTCTGATTACTGATGCCATCAGTGATGGTATGGTGGTTAAGGATGTTTATTAGCAACGCCAAATTCTTCGCAACCTGGGACCATAACAGAACGTCGTAACTACAGTATAATATCATTTGAATTAAGCCTACCCTGGATTGAACATGCTTATAGAGTGCAACTTACAGCTCCAAAATAATAATGTTTTGAAAAAATATATTGAGATGTGGGCTGAGCCCAAGCGACAAAAGGAATACTTAGTGGTAGTAAAAAAAATCGAGGTACAACTTCTTTGGATAACTCCCTATTAATACGACCCCCCCCCCCCCTGGAATTCTGTCTTCGTTGGTTGTGATAGAATTCTCCGGCTAACTCACAAGTTTGTGGAGTACTAGGTAATAAAGTCTTTGTCAGTCACTCAATGTCACAGGTTGTATATAGCTAGTATCTAGCAATAAGGAGAGTTGGGGGCGTTCACCTTTACTTGCTGTCGGTCTTGGATGTAGTTTCAGACGATGCTAACAGCCCCTGTACCTTCTCCCATTGCAACGAGTTGACGTCCAGCAATTGCCACCGAAACTCCAGCGGTTTGGACCCCCGTCGATGACCCAGGTACCCCAGCCGACCGCAGTAGATATAAGGACCCTGCCCGACACACAACAACAGTCAGCATAGTACACCAACAATGCAATATATCCCGTATCGTACCTGTGTATGTCTGAGGAATAGCAACAATGGCTCCTCCTCCTTCTCACTGTCCTTGTCATAGTATGTTTCATCAAACCTCAAGCGCTCGTCTCCTCTCTTCGCTTTCCTCAATCTCATCACCAACGGCGACTCATCGTGCCATCGATTCTGCCCAAACCACTGGAAATGCACTGCACTGCGTCCGTCCGCATCCTCCAGATGGAACACATTGTCATAGGGCGACTCGCTCTCGACGTTCAAGAATAGCGCGACTGAATTCTTCCACGGCTGCACGCCACTCATTTTGGAGAACTTGGCCACATATCCAGGCGGACACAGACCTTGCATGGCCGTCTGCTTGCCTACAGGCAGCAATTGCGTTCCTAAACATCGTCCATGAAATTCCTCCAGTTGAATCTCGATCTGGGAACTCGATATGTGCAATTTCTTGCCCTTATTAGGGGATGATAGTTGCGTAACGGGCAAGTCTAAGGGCACAGGAGGTTCCATCTTAGCTCTCTTGGCTCTAGGAGGCGAACCCAGCGCTATCAACGCTTCGGTCTCCGTTTCTAGTGGCTCTGTGGTAGCCTCACGTTGTTGGCGCTGGCGCAGCGATCTCCTCACGGGGTATAATAGTCCCACCTCCTTCTTCTTGCGAGAAGGTGGCGGAGTGTATTGCGGGATCTTGGGTACATTTAGCGCCTGTAGCTGCTGCTGGTTCGCCTTGATGCGGCGCTGGCGCTTGGCCTCATATTCACTCAGCTCCATACGTTTTCGTTAAAACCGAGCATTTCATTTTTAACCGTACATTTTTAATGTATACTGTATAATTAAATGGTCCGATTATACAATGTATAGCCATTTCTATTTGATTTTAGAAACCATTTTGTGTTTCTATTTAACCTACAACAACATGAGCGCCAAGCCCAAACCGCCCAACAAGGCCCGACGCGCGCTGCTCCGTATTCGCGGCTACGTGGCTTCTCATAGCCTCTCGCTATGGTGAGTGGCAACTATTTTCCTCGCGCTCCTTCTGATATCAATATGGATGCTACACCCTACGTATCCATGGAGATATCGCCTTGCGATCCTAACACTAATTTACTCCATTTTCTGCTTGTTTAAGCTGGGGAACATACGTGCTGGGACTTATTTGGCTGTTACTGCATCCTGCCATCACCATCACTACCGGTAATCCCTCTTTATCTCCTTGTATGCTGCTAAAACGTGGCTAATTTCCCTTAAACACCCTTTTAATACCTTTTCAGGCGAATTGAAGTGCCGTGGGACGTACATGTCCGAGAACGCGCTACTGATCGACCTCATGGAGGCACGAGCGAGTCATCAAGAGGCTCATTCGGCTCGAAAATTCCACCAAAACCTGCTAAACCTGCCAGACTTGCCCCCCAGTGGCTGCGGTGACAACTGCTCACACGTCGTCGACTGGATCGACTCACAACTCCGCAGTCTGGACCGTGTCGAAGCCTACAGCCAAGTATTTAAGACAGGTGAAGCATCAACGCCACGTAGGAACGTGTATGGCATCCTGAGGGCCTCCCCGCTGGCTGATGGCAAGGTATGCTGCCACTCTGTCGTTTAAATTAGCTTATATGTACTAAAAGCACGTTCTGTAGGAAGCAATTGTGCTTGTCACACACTACCGTAATATCGGTACAGATAGCGGTGAGAACTCCGGGTTATCGTTGGGACTGGCCTTGTTAAAGTACCTTTCAAGGGCGAAATGGCTGGCTAAAGACGTGATTCTTCTCGCTGCAGACGGTAAACAACTTTTTTTCCCCCTAATATGCTGAATTTCTTATGTCTACTTTATTGTGTTGACTTGTAGATGGAGTTTTAGATGGAAGTGACGGGTATGCTCCTGGTACTGAAGCCTGGTTGCAAGCGTACCATCTAGATCCAGTAGACAGCGGCTTACAGGGTGTTCTACCTATGAGAGCTGGTGTTATCCGTGCCGCAGTCAAACTGGAGACGCTGTACAACTCACGTCACGTGGATTCGGTCGGGATTTACACGGCTGGGATGAATGGCCAGCTGCCAAACTTGGATCTTGTCAACACAGCCGTGCGCGCGTTCCGTCAGCACCAGATTCCTACGATTCTGGATCGTGCTGATGTCCAGGAAGACGGCGAACATAAGAGCTATGTTTCAAGAGTTCTAGGGTCCATCTCGAGCTTGAACGAGCAGTATACACCGCCGGAGCTCAAGGAAAAGGCTCGAAACTACCTGACGAACCTCAAGGGAATGCTGCACTTTATGACGACGTTGGCGACGGGGCCTTCGGGCACTCACGCCAACTTTATCAGCTACAATATCGACAGTATCACGCTGTCGCTTACAAAGAGTCAAACCTCAGTTGGACGTCCACTGGCCTCGCGTGATATACTGCGGTCGATTGAGATGGTGGTTCGAGCACTCAGCAATCTGGAAGAGAAGCTGCATCAGTCGTTTTTCCTCTATGTTCTGCCCAGCACGTCGACTTTTGTGTCAGTGGGTGAGTACATTTACGCCGTGCTTCTGGTAATCTCGCCGGCGATCGCGCATTTGCTCTTCTTGGCGAATCAAACTACTGGGATGCGTGTTGCGCTCGCGCTGACTGTTATTGTCGTGGTTGAAACGCTTTGTGTGCTTCTTCTGGTTGGAATCTGCAAGTATTTCGCCACTCCTACTGCGTTGTTGCATACGTTTAGCTCAAGTAACATGTCTGCTACAAGGTGGTTTGTACTGGCAATTGCAGTTTCCGTGATGCAAGTTTTGATTCTACTGGTGGTGATGCCTGCTCTGCGTTCTGTGACGGGCTTTGCTGGCTGCGTGGAGATTTACGACTGGAGGAGGAGAGTTACGGCGTACGAAGCTGAAGAGCAGAAGCTATTACAAGACTCTGAGAAGGCAACTGACAAGGCTGTCGTTGATACCAAGCCGAATGCCATCCCGACGCTGGATTCAGGCTGGCAAGGCATCAAATTCATTACTATGGCGGTGATTGTGTACGTTGTGTTGGTTTAATTGGATAGGTTTGGTGTTGTACTGACAATTTTTTTTTTTTGCTAACAGATACGCACACTGCATTATGAGCATCTTGAATTATCCGATGGCTCTCTTCTGCGCCATCCCGATGGCCCATTTCGCCCGCGTGATCCCTTTTGGCACTGCAACATTGCCCAAGAATGTTTGGAATGGGTTGTGGCTCTTTTTGTCATCGCCATTGGTTCTCTTCGTTTTGCTGAAGTGGAGTCGTCTAGGTACGGTCGTAGTTTTACGTGTATGGCTATATGATTGTCATTATGCTGACTTGTGCTTTGTGTGTACCAGATGTGACTGCTGGTTTATCGTACGCTGTGGACAGCTTTGTTCAGAGGATCAACTTGCTAGCTCTGGCGTATATTTGCTGCATCTACATCTCCGTCCACACTTTGTCACTTGTGGTTTGGACGTATCCAAGCGTCGGGCATTTAGATAAAAAACAAAAGCTGGAGTGAGGAAAACGAGGAAGGTCTACGTAACCAATGACTATTCCCCCCTGTTTTGTCGCGATTCTCACTGGAATGAGGCAGATTTTATTAAAATATTGGCTTGACGTTTCCTTCTGAGATTTATCTTACAAATGAAAAATTTGTGCAATATTCGCCGTGGAAACACTGTATCGGATGCAAAATAGCAGACGAATGATATTTTTATTCGCATTTATCGATTCGACCCTTCACCTGATAGAATGTCCACGTCACCAATCGATGCCCCACTTACGCTGTCAAGTCCGCCAACGGGAAGTGGAAGCAAAGACGTTAACAAGCCTTTCAAGGTCCGTTCGGAGCTGTTGGCATCCACTCGCCTGGCCTCAAAGGCTCAGCTACTGCATCATAACCGTTCATTGTCGATCCAAGTGATCGCCCATGAAGTTTTCTTGCTGGTTATTGCATGCACTAAATGTTTTGCAGTAGCAAACAAAGAACCACCCATGATAGGAATTTTGGGAGGCGGCAATGTTGGAACCACAGTTATCATGACACTCTTAGCCAATGGATACCGTGCCGAGCGTATGGCGCTGTCCACCCGTCAACCAGATCGAATCCCTCGATGTGAAGCACTAAAAGCTCCTTCAGCTCTGCCAATGTTCCAGTTACTACGACAATGCACGGTTAGCTCGAGAGAGTGATATCTTGATATTTTGCATGCCACCGTCTCAGTTGAAGAGCGTGACTATTCAAATTCGACACTCACTGGCTGCAAGCGCAGAAGCCCCGCCACTTGTGATCAGTGCGCTGTGTGGTGTCACTGATCATACTTTGAGTAAGGCCTGTGGATCCCAAGCAGTCGTCCGAGTGCAGCCTGAAGTCACGAAAATTGCGAGCTTATGGCATGAGCAACACGAGGAACATGCTGATGAAGAGCAACCTGTCGATGCTCGACTAGCGAGTTTATCGATGAACTTGCCGGATTATCAACAAGGTATGGCTGGTCGAGATCAGCAGCTTCTACCACTTCGTCTAGCAGCAGAAGCAATCGGTAAGCATACTTCTATTATTTCGATAGTTTGAGAATTTCTGTTGATATTCGAGACATTCATTGGAATTTAGCAACCCAAAGAGAAGAAGTACGCAACTTAATGCAAGCGTTTTGCTTGCTTTGCCGTCGCGCTTGGAGCCAAGCTATGAGCACAGAGGGCATAGGGAAAGTGCTATTTGGTGACAAGAATGAAGTGGTAATGGAATCCCTTGGCCAGGTGCTATCCGACTCCAATGGAGAACAGCAGCGGCAGAATGAGGACAGCAATAACCCGTTTGTGAGTTCGAATTGGCCATTGGAATGGGAGCAGGATTTGGTCGATCTATAGGCACAACTAGTATTGCATGCTCTACAGCACTCAACGTAAAACAAGATAGGGCGGTAAATATAGCGAAATGTGCTTTTTTTTCGATTCATCATGCTACACATCTTACAAACGCCGCATTTCTGAACCAAACACGAACTCGGGTCATTGATGAAATCTATCACTAGCCAACGTAGAGGGAAATGGATATATTCCTACCATGTTGTGGGAATAGCATGGCTACACGGAAATATTTTAATACATGCAGTAGACGGAAGGCGTAAACCCGAGCGTGGTGCCCACGGAGCAGGGCCGGCCAGTACTGTATTTGCGTAGGTGGGAATAGCGACAAGATCATCAGCCAACGGACCCATTACACTGTCTAGCACATTGGTTTTTTACAGCACGGGCCAGGGCCCAAAAGGGGGTGCATCGCAAAATTGTGGGGACAGGTTTGGGACAGGTCAGTGCTCGGACATTCAATAAAGAAATGTATAAGTGGTTTTGCTCAGCAATATTAAATAAATGAGTGATGAGAAAACAATAATAAAGAATGAGTAAAAAGTAAGTTTTGCATTGTGCACTAAAATTCTAGGTATCACCAGTACTATCAACACAAAAATGCAGCCCTCACTTAAACTTCTAAGCTACAAAAACTTTGTTTTGCAAGTACCTGGGTAGCACGATTGATTGGTGATGATAATTGCGAACCAATGATACCTTGACACCTGACTGGATCTGCAGACGATCCGAAAAAAAAATTACCGCGTCAGAACTGGTGAAGTTGTTCTCGACGCTGGTATGGGTATCACGAAACATTTCGCCGTCCTTGATTCGCTTTAGAATCTTGTCCATGGTTTGATGGCATCCGTCTTCCAATAGCTTATAGGGATATTTATCCCAGTGGTTGTTAGCAATCATGTTCATATTGTGGACCAGCTCGCAGTACCGGAATCAACGGCTTTTTTCAACCGATCGGTTGTAAGCAAAGGGACATTTGTTAGCGTGCACGAGGGCCACTAACTATTTTTACGATTTCTGTCGATTTTACGGTTTTGACTTAAAATGCACTTTTTACACCGGTTGCAAAAAAAGCCGTAAACTCCGGTACAGATTTATCAGTCAAGCGTGTAACATCGAGACAGTCTCATTTAGGTAACTTCTGTAACGGGGTACGAACCCCAAGTGTACCCAAGTTACATGAAAAGTGACCAGTCACTCTTGTAATACCTGGTACA